GTATTGCGGTGTCGCGATTACGTTTGATTGGCTCTAAATAACTAATCCCATTATGTAAAGCTACGCGAATTATTATTCCAGATGAGTGCCCTTAGTAAACGTGGCAGTTTAGTTTGCACAGTGAACGTATAGAGTGTGCCCTAGACTCAATTAAGTTCTGATCAATTCGCCGACAAAAGTGGGACGAGCTGTATCCCACTTTAATCCCTTTACGCTTCGATCTTTATAACTAGTTTCGCTTTATTATTACGCGCAATATCGCCGGCATACCAAAAGGATTGCGTCTTCCCTTCTCTCTTTATTCCGAGAGACGCGTTGTATCGCGGGCTTAATGTCATTGCATTTTGCGCGTGTAAGTTTTGAGGCGGCGCGTCAATCGTCGCGCGTACACTCGAAATTTCTTCGGGCGGAATCTCATCTTTCAGCACATGCGAAAAGCAGCGATATTTTAACTCGGGACGATAGCGAAAATACCGCCGCTCGAATTCGCGGGAGCGAATGTTTCACTCAAGCTCAGAGCGGATTCTGATTCCATACGAGCGATGCTTCGATCGATTAGAGTGAATTTGTTCCCGCTAGAGGGTGGGATACATCAGATTCACCCTTCAGTTTCGAGTGAGAATATTCACTCGACGACTTTCGGAGTGGAGCATTTCACTCTGCACCGAAGTGAAAAGTCACCCGAATCCGACCGACTCGGTTGTCACACGGGGGAAAAGTAATTTTTTGTCTAGTTGCAGCGAAACCATCCGGATATTAGTGAATCGCTCGCAATCGGAGCGGAAACAGTTTTATCGCCAGGATAGAAAAAAATTCCACTGAGTGAATCTTTCGGTGGGATACGTTGATTTGCTGTTAGAGCAAAACAGAGTTTCCCCGACATTTATTCTCTCACTGGCGAAACAATTTATGGAATCAGTAAAATATGTTCAGCGAGTGTGCAATTAGTAGTACTCTCAACAAGTCGTTTTGCCGTCCACAACAGCGGCCGGCAAATTTTGCTGCGACAGCACGAAATTCCCTGTGCCAGCAAGTTATTTTTCTCCGTGCATTCTGCTTTTCGAGCGAGACTTCATTCCGAGGAATCTGAAGGATAACGGAAAGTCTCGTCCGTTACAATTATCGCTATTCGCTCTTGTCGAGTTGATTATCAGTAACAACTCCATCTACTTATCACTTTCGCACGTTATTTCTCGATCGTTACCGTTTCGCTTGTCATTTCAATCGCCGAATCGATCGGCACCGCGTGTTTCCTCCTCTTACACGCACAGAAAACGAATCTGCCGCGCATCCGTCGCGATGTTTGTCCCGACTGATATGCCGGCGATTAGGATTTTCATTGCGCTTAATCACTTCGGCGCTATGTCGAACATTCGATAATAATTAATTAGCCACTGCCACTGGCCATTAGCGCGTCCGTCATTTACGAATCTAGTTTAACTTGCTCCGCCGACCGTTCAGTTTTCACAAGCCAGTTTCATAAACGACGTCACTTAGTCGTTAATTCGCGACCCATTAATACCCGACATTCGCGGGAAGTTACTTTGTTTACCTTCCGTGCGACGTCCGAGTTTCGAAAAGTATAATGTTGGCCGTCGAGTTAGACTTTTCTTTCGTCCTTTCGTGAAAGAAAAACCGTCAATCTTACTTTGTACCTCGCGGCTATCGTCGCTTATTGAGTTCAGGAGTGACGCTGACTCGCGATCTCCCTCGCTCGCGTTTTCCTAACGACGTTAACTGCATTTATCTTGTGATATCTGACTTGCTCGATTGACTTCGTCCGAGCTACGCCACTTCGGCGAACATGTCGGCGCAGGACCAACTGTCTTCACCGAGGACATCGTAGACATATATAGACTAAACGCTCCCCATGAGAAGCTGCGAGGACTTCATCGGACAAGGATGTCCTGTTACTGCAGGCATTCAACTTTTGTCTAGCAGCTTGATTGCTCTCGAAGGAAGCTAGGCGAAACCAAATCTATGCCGCGACTCTAATGACACACAATTTGCTGTCTCCCTAAATGATTTTCCTCCAGGTTTTCTCCAGCGAAATACGAATATAGCTTTTCTTCAATCTTGTCCTCAAGTCTCTCGTATGTTTTCATCATAAAGAAATAAAACAAATCATTATACACGTAAGTAAATATTTAAAATCGTCCGAAGTTTATCTTCTCAGGTGCTTGGTCGACGCAACGATCCGTAGCAGCATCTGAAAAGACGTACTTTAAACGATCTTAGAACTTTATAAGGTCCGGCCATAAATACTGGCCTGTGAGTAGACCAAAGTCGATGCGCGACTTAGCGAGCGCATGGAAGGCCGATGCAGCAAAAGTGCATCAGCCACAGGTGCTTTAACGACGCGTGAAAGCAGTGCTTCTTTCCCCGCTTCTCTTCTCCTTCTTATCCTTCTCTCTTTCTTTCTTTTGCTCTCCTTTTATTCCACCATCACCTGCTCCTCCCTCTCTCTCTCTCTCTCTCTCTCTCACAGACACATTCTCTCTCTCTCCCCCCTTCGTCCCTCCTGCCATTTTCTAACGCAGATATTAAAATCAATACGGTATGCGTTTGACTGGTACACCGTATGTACCGCCATTACCGCATGCACCGGCCGCGTATGTACGATCCGCTGCCCCCGCAATCATCCCGCGCCATACCCATCCTTCCTGCAATCCTCTCCGCTCCCCCCTCCCCCCCCCTTGCCACGGCCGCCCTCCCTTGCGGATGCACGCGAGAACTGCAGCTGCAGCTGTAGCGCCTTGCAGCCGACGTGGTTGAGAGGTTGAACCGAGGTGCGAACTGTTAAAGGAGGGATGAAGGGCTCGGGGAATTTGACGTCGGGGGCCGAGGATGACTTTGGAAAATGACGGCGCACCCGAGATAACGGATGATCTAATCTGCGCGCGCTTCTGAATCTTCCCCTCTCTCTCTCTCCCCCTCTCTTTCTCTCTCTTTCTTCCGCGGGATTGGCTATCTTTCTCGCTTCTTCGCTTAATTCGCCGCCCAAATTCGCTCGGAATTTCCTTTCCCGTTTGGATGCGCACCTCCGAATCGCTCTGCTTCTATGGGTTTCTAAGCTGAAATCTCGTGAGCGCTCGAATTTCGGGATGGATCTACTTTCTCGAGATGGTTGTATACTTCCGGAAGGCGTCGCGTTACTCGCCCCTTTAATCCCCCGGAATCACGAGAGTCGGGGGATCCTCTCTCTTTCTCTCTCTCTCTAACTAGCGTCGTGTAAACCAAGCATCTCATTACACCCGTCAGTATAATTATCACTTCACCGTCTTTTCCTTCCTTTTACCGCCTCTCTTTTTTCCCTTCCATCTCTTCTCTCTCTCTTTCTCTCTCGGCTGTCTCCCGGCGACTCGAAGCGTTTTAATCGTTTGATTCTCATATCGTCGCGTCGTCCCCGGCCACCACGTGAGTCTGGGTGCGAAGTATTAAGGGAGGGCGCAAAGATGGGATATAATTTCATACCAAGTTAATCAGGCGCTCTCAGGGAGTCCCCGGGGAGACGCGCAATGTCAAGGAGGACTGGCGAGGTAGTAGCAGTAGCGGCAGAAGGAGGCGGGGGAGGAGGGTCGGGATCGTAACCCGCGACATCAAATACTGTCCAAGACGTGCCGATGTCATGTAACAGCTGCTACTAATCGCCTGTTTAACTCAGCTAATTAGCGGCTTAATTACACGGCGATCGTGACGCTGATAGTTCAACAACGCGATCACGGCGATTACACGGCGCACTTTGTTACATTACATCTCGGCCGGCGGTCGCGCGACGGCCGTGGAAAAATTCGAGGGGGGGGGGGGAACTCCCGGTTAATTACGTTCCGAATATACACCGCGTTCAGGAGCGGTCGAACTTGTTCTCACCCGCCCCGCCATAGATTGATTAACTTTCGAGCGAGCACCGCAGTTGATTAATTAAACGCTCTTCGACCGTGGGATACCTCCGTCTGGAGATATCCGCCTCCTCGTGGATGTCCTCTCGGGACGAGTTTGCATATTTTTCCGAACATATTCATTCGAGTTATCCCCCGAAATTGTGATTCTTCCTTCCCTTTCTTTCGATTCCATTCAGCCCCGCTCAACGTTGAAATAAAGGCGACTATTACGGCGTGTCGTTGCAACTCTGTCGCGCTTTCGAGGCTTCGCGCGGCAATAATAAAATTGAGGCGCGCTCGGCGCCGCAAACAGCCGAAAAGATGGCGGATTAATAATCCCGCGCGCCGCGGCAAGGGTTAAGGGCGTCGTATAAGTTCATGATGTCGCGCGAGCTCTCGCGTATTTCGCTGACACCTCGTAAAACTGTAAACACGTTGCCGGCATTGGTTTTATCGCGCATTCGGACTCGGGATTCACGAGCCGCCATTTAGCCGGAATATTATTTTGTCAGGCCGCTTCCGGGATCCGTGAGCGAGCCGAGTTGAAATTACTCGCGCCGGCGCGCACGGCGCAATTAACGGGTAGGATTTACGTCGTGGCGAGTACTCCGAGGCGAAACGCTTTACGACGGTTAAGACAAAGAATCGGGCAGAGATGAAACAATGTAACGGAAATGAGGAGGGTGAGCCTTAAGTGCGCGCGAATGCCAGGCAGAGTGACATCCGAAAACGTACCTAAAATCGTCCGCTCGAGGATGATAGGTACTCTTCGCCCTCCCGCCGCGACCGTGTCGAATTGTGATGCCGAAGGAGGGAGGAATTCGCGCGGGCGTTTTCGCTTGCGCTGCACAGACGTCGTCTCCGACACTTTTGCCCCGACGAGTGTCGATTTTTCATCACGACCGAATTCCACGGCCGCGATGTGTCTAACAATATGTCGCCTTGACATATGAATCTGACATCAAGCATACAATCGCAAAGTTGTTTGATGAAAAACTTACGTATATGTACATATGTGCGTACATATATATATATGTATTTTTTGATTTTGATTTGGTATAAATCTAACTTGCGATAAGCACAGCATCTAATCGGCTCGTCCTTGCTCTTGATTTTCAGGATCGAGGTTTGCGGCCGATCGATCGATCTCGGTGGCGAGTGCGTGTGGATCGTGCATGTCCGAAGTCGGCGATTCGCAGGTAAGTCGATTTACCGACGATTGCATTATATTTCTACCTGTTTTCCGCCGGGCCAATAATTGCCCGTACAATTGCGACTCGCAATTAATCACGGCACGATCGCATAATCTAATACAGAAATTGCACGTGCAACGTATCGCGGTAATATACCGGCAATTGATTGCACGAAACAGAACACGCTCCAATTCGCACGACTGTACATGCAAAATGTTCGGTGTAAATTTGAATTCGTCAGCATACACAACCGCGAATAATCCTTTGAGTGTCAGTGACGCATACTTGCGCGCCTTCGCAAAAAAGCTGGAAAACAGGCGATTCTTCCGTCACTTTGAACGTCGCGATTTAACGAAGTGTCGATATCGGCGACTCCTGTGTCTACACGAGATTACATTCTTCAACTGATTTTGATCAACAGAATTCTAATTGAAAGCTCGGTTACAAACATATACAATAATAAAAATGTGAAAGTTGCGACTAATGGTGATCTTCCTCGAAACTTTCACATCAGAACTTTTGACTCCAATTGGGCCCCAAGAAATGCTATTAAAGCAATGATAGTTTCGGGACATCCTATATGTGCGTGTTTAATAGTAAAATGTGTCAACGTGCAATCTTTTCTTAGACAGATAACGATAGGAAAAATACGGCGGAGGGCGCAGTTAAGTAACTTTCTGATGGCTAATAACGAGTTTAGGTGCCCTTTCGTGATTTCTTGGCATCAGCTTTAACAGACGGAAATATTTGGTATAATTAAGATTGCATGGGAAGGGTTTAATTCAGTCACAGCCGCACAAAAGAATACCTCTTTCGTTTTACCTCGCTATTTTTCTTTTACGTGGTGAAACGTCAATCGAGCGAGAAACAGACTTTACTAGTGTAAAATGCGGTGGGCCGGCCGGATAAGAAACGAAAGGGGATGGTTTTGTGTCGGTGCCTTGTTAACTCGTGATTATTGTTCGTCAATTTTAATTACACGCTTTTAACGGGCGACGGGCGCGATTTCTTGGAAAACTTTCGCGAAGACGCGGCACACTTCGCGAATGATATATTTCGCTGTTTCTAATCCCGCTGAATCGCAAATTGAGCATCACCGCAATCCAAGGACCTTCAATTAGTGCCGAGAAAAAGTGGCGATAAATTGAAATAAATGATTAATCGCGAACGCTCGACGGTAAATAATTGATGACGCTATTATATATTTTCGTGGCTGGGCGTGCGACGTTGTTATAAAGTTTCGTTCGGCGATACGTTAAATGTAAATTTATTTAATCGCCCCCATTGGATTTTCGGAATTCGTTTACCGTGGAATTATTGAAGTTTATCAAATATGCGAATGTGTGCGACGTACCGATCGGAATATTAAGAGGACGATTAGTATAGAAATACGCGGCAAATGAATAACAATAAATATACGGAGCGTCCCAAAATCGGTGACGAGCAAACTGCCGATTTTTCTCACGTGAATCGACGCGCTAATTATTTTCGATCTAAGATGGATGTCCGAATTAGTGACAGTGTCCTAATTTATGATAATCCGTTCTTTTGAATGAGTCAAATAATATAGTTCCGTATTTATTCTAAAAAAATGTGTTTTTACTCTAAATTTTACGTATTATCTGTCGTCAAGTTTCGAATAAAATTAAAAGCCGCACTAAATACTGAAATATCATAATTACGAGCTGCTAATAGCGACAGTTGGAATAGTTACTCGCCGATGCTTTAGAAGTTGGCCGTTAATGTAAGACTTTTTTATTTCTTTGTATTTTTAATCTCAAACGATTGAAATTGTCAAAATCGAGGAAAGACTAAAGAATATTTTGCAAGCGAAAAAAGCAACGAGATACGTGTTTTTTATAGTTAATATATGTATATAATCAATACTAGAATATTTATACGCCTGTATTACTGATTATCTAAATGAATATATTATAAAATGATATAAACGTTCCTATTTCTAAAGAGGAAACGTGAATTATAAAATTTATAATTCCAAAATATACTCCTATGATAATAACTCTCCCTCAAAAATTTATAACAAATAGTACGAATATGAGTTCTTAAATTGTAATGTTTAAGTCATACATTTATATATGTTTATTTTAACGTTCTGTACCAATTTGTGACACTCGAATAATGATTTTTGTCAATAATAGGATTGTTCGTACGTTGCCTGTTCAGTTATATAGACGCACTATGTCAGAAATTGGGATAAAATCAAAATTACATCGTTAAATGGTATTTCCGTCACTTTTGAGTACAAATTATAGATTAATTAAAATTTTATCATAAATTGAATAAAATTTAATACAAATAGAATCCCGAATGTTTAAACTCCCGAACAAAATAAATATTATGTATTTAATACGCGTATATTGATGATAATTTATGAATTTATTTTCACGATGAAGTTACTTAATTATTCATCGGAACTTATAAACCATTAGATAAAAAAAGTATCTCTTCCTCTCTTTTATAATTAAATATTAACCGATTTTTTGTTATCCCGGTGAATATCACACCTCTCCAAATTGTACACTCTATATTCTTCGATCTCCCTTCTCTTTCCCGCTATTTTTTTTTAACGTCCACTTTTACGTTTATTTCGACACGTCCATTGCGAGCCGGCTTTTTGGCAACATTTCGACGCTCGTCAATCTCTTGACGAATAAACGATTTCGCCATAACCATTCTGGATTACCGTACGTGGGACTTGATATTGCGCTTCCGGGGTTGCTGCCCCCTTCGCCTCCCGACTTTCCCCGTCCATTCTGTGTACAGCGATTTGTCGCAGCCAAATGCAATTGTACCCCCATTTCTTCGGTAATTGCAAAATCGGGCGAAACTCCCTAAAGCGAAATGACGGAGGGTTCTCGGCTGAAAAAGGAAAAAAACGAAAAATGGACGTCTCGTCGATTATCTCCCCGTAATTCGGCGAAATCCAATTTTTCGCGCAACGGCGAGGGAAAAAAAGGCGAGCATCTTCCTCGCAGTTCCTCTACCTATTTTCAACGTGTGTCCGCGTCTACGCGCGCTACGCTTTGTGTTACTATCGCACGCAGAAGCAACAGCCGATTTTATTTCCGTTTCACCGTTAATTCCGCGGAAGAAAATATTTATATATTTTTTCGTTCGCTCGCGTGCATTGCGCGTATATTGCGTGCCGCTTCGAAAGTTGAAAAAAAAAATTTAGGTTTTCCGAAATCTCGCAATATCGGTGCGCAATAAATCTAAATGTATCTGATAGCACGGTTTCTCTCTCATATTCGCGTGTTGCCATATTTAAAAAACAGGAAATATCGCTGTTTGTAAAAGTTGTCAAAGCTTCTAGGCGCAACGAAAGGTTGATGGAAAAACATTTTTGAAAAATTGCAATTTGGGAAAAGAAGCACACACACACACATAATATAATATGTACACACGTCAAGGCGCTAAAATAGAAATCGATTCTTCCTTACCGCGAGCCGCGACTAGATCCAATTACGGGATCGCTCGGAAAGCAAAGTTCACGCGGCAACAGTCCAAAACCGGTCATTTCATCATCCCCTTCTCCACATTTTCTAGTCCCGCCGGCCAGAAGCCGGTTTATACCCGTGTCCCGATAATCCCGCAATTGTCCGCGCCGCGGGGCTCCACGGTAGAACCGTGTCTTCCTCGCGGCCGTCGCGGATCCGACGATTAATCCGGAGCTTCGGGGATAACCGGCGCGGATCGGCCGTCATCCTCGCTTTGCGCTCGCGCGCCCATGAAAATAAGTCTGCGCGCTCGTATTTAATTTGACAGCCACGGGAGGGCGGGAGGAAAAATTTCCCGCCCGCTAATGCACTCGTTAACGCGCTCGCGCGAGCTCACGCGATTTATTAGGAGCGAATGATCGATCGATCGAGCGAGTGTACGAGAGAGTGAAGGAAGGAACGAGCGAGCTCGGCGGTCGCGCTCTGGTGCGAGCGGCGTTTTATCGATCGATCGGCCGGCGAGCGGCGGGAGATTTACGCGTGCATGCCAGCCGTGCCTCCAACGAACATATGTCATGTTATTTACGAGCCGGGCATTACTCTCTGCCCGATTTACTATATTTTATGTTACGTGGATGGACTCGCGATTCTTCCGGATCTTTCGCCGAATCGGACGCCGGTCACGTCCAAGTGCGTGCCCGCGTTCCGACGACGGAGCCCCGGCCCGCCGATACTCAAGTTAATTGCGCGACGCGCCTCTTCGCGAGAGAGTCGCCCCCTTTTTTCCATTTATACCATTTATACCGGTGCATTACGCCGGTGTATTTTCTCGGAAAGAACGTGTCTGTCAACGTGGCCGCTTATCATGACTAACTCGTAATAAAGAAACGGCCACTGCGAGCGCGTGTGTACGCGCAGAAGAAACGCTCGATTGCGCGCGGTATACACGTCGGGCCGAAAGTTGAATAAGATTAAAGGCGAAGGTGATCTCGGACCGAGGAGAAATTGCGATCGGAAGCCGAGGCTCGTTAGAACGGAAATGATATTTCTCAGACGTATCCCCGGCACTTACGCAGCCGCGATCGACGCGTGTCCTGGTAAGGCATATTCGGGGGAATTCGGTTGACCGCGAGATTACCGGCGCATACGCGCGTCCCGGGGAGCCAGGAAAAATAGGTGCGTCGGTATCGGCGACACCTCTTTCGCGAGGAAGGCATTAAAGGACCGTTCGATCACGATCATCCCGATACTTCCGAGTCGAAATGGGGCAAATCTCGGGTGCTTAATGGCGGCCATTTGAGGGTCAGCGTCGTGGCGGGGGATTTATGCCCTCATATTTTGGCAGAGACGGTCGCGTCGCGGAGCCTTTCGGCAACGTCACCGGGCGCCTTTCAATCAGCCGACGCGCGCAATTCGGCCGCCTGATCCCCCGACATTTTTACCCCGAGCGGTATAATGCATCGCTCGATTTCCACCGCGGAAATCGGAAGCGGAGGGAGCAAAGAAAAGAGGGGGGGGGGGGANAAGAAAAGAGGGGGGGGGGGAATG